GCTTTCAATTGTGACCAGTGGATTTGAAAAATAAGCGTGATAGTTTGATAAAAAATAAATCGATAGCCTAATCATGGATTCGCTGTTGTCTGCAACCTGATCTCCGGCGAAAGGCTTCTGCACACAAAAAAGAAAAGCCCTGCATGAACACGCAGCATAATGAAGCGAGTGGATTTTCCTGATGGATCTCATATCTATAAGATGATGTCTGTGTGCGAGGATTACGAACGTATGCTCCTTTTCTATGTGCGTTCCTCTCTTAACACGAAAGTGAAAGTAACCTACGCATTCGGGATAGTTTAAAAGAATTCGGGTCTAATCAGGTCCATTTGGGAAAAGCATGTTTATTTTAAATTACCCGAGACCCGAGGCAGCTAATACCGAACCCGACCCGTGTCCGAGGTACTCGTCAAAGTTTTGGACCCGAACCCGCTCGGGTCTCGGGTCGGACCTCGGGTTTTCAGATCCAAGTGGACCCGTGAAGACCTCTAGTACACAGTCCGCCATTGCTGCACTGACGAGAATGTCTCCCAAGCGTTTTAGGTGTTCCGTAGCTGGATGTATTAATCCACATAGCTTTCTCAATTTACCCCCGAAATCTGAGACACCGCTACTAGCAGTTTCTGACATTTTCAGTGCGTGAGAGAGTGTTTTGTTATTGCTGGCATGCCGGTGCACGAGCTCTAGAAACTCCACCCTCTTCTGAAAGTGGAGGCGGGAGCACCAGCTCGTTTCCATTTAAAGGGACAAACACAGAAAACAGCGCGTTTTGGCTTATACCCAAAAAATGGCAATTTCAACAAGCTATAAAAAATTATCTGATATATCGTGATATCAATTTTGGCCATATCGTCCAGCCCTACTGTAGGGTATTTTGAGCTAAAACTTCACATACACACTCTGGGGATTTTGTAAAAAGGGGCATAATAGGTCACCTTTAATAATATATTGATTGATGCATCATCATCCTACACTCATCCCTGATTAATTTTTCCCTTCGAGTTCTGTGCATAGCCATAATTTCATGAACATGTAAATTAATATTCTCCATTTTTTTTATTCATTTTGAATGAATTACACCTTTTATTCAATGCTTTAGCCAGTCATATTCACACCCTGAGTAAAAGTCACGTCAAACTGTGCAGCCGATGGTGTTTCTAGCCTAGAAACCTAGCTTTCCCTTGCACTAACTGGGTCTCCAAGTGATGAGATGATGAGCTGGTCTTTTTACTTTGGTGGTTTATTTCTGGATTTTGTTCCATGCTGCTGGTCTCTGCGGGTCCCATCACATTAGCATAATGGAGCAGTAGCTGCTGTATTGACCAGACAGGAATGTTTAAAAAAATTTTTTATTTTAAAACATCAAATCACAACAATGTAGGTAGGAAACAGATCTGGCGTGACGCAGCTGACACAGAACAGCATACGCTGTTTACGTCCAGCTGATATTCTCCAAAAAGGCGCTACAGGGTGATGC